GGTAATAAATAAATAAATATATATATATATATATATATATATATATTTGCTTATTTAAATTTATAAAAGTATTAAATAACTTAAAATCAAATAGAGGAATTTCAAGTTTAATACCATTTCTATTAAACTATATATATTAAGATTATGATTTATAATAATTAAATGGTGTAACAAAGAAATTTATTTATTTAAAAATAATGAGTACATTAATAGTAAACACAGGAATAAATATAGAATATCATGTAAAATTGTTTATAATATAGATATTCAATATAATAATAATAAAAAAAAGCTTCATATATTTATAAAAATATTAATACATTTTGTATCTGCACCTATCCTTAGTGCAAATAAATGTCAAGATGAAATAACCTTTAGATAATAAAGTGCTATATGTTTAGCTAATATTGTAAATAGATATTGTTTTAAGTATGTAACTTTAAAATAAAATATTTGTGAAACTTTGTAAGAAATATTTAAAGAAGGCTTATCGTAGAAGAATATTTAATATTAAATTTTGATTGGAATTCTTAGAGTTTTCTATTATTTTGAATCAAATATTGTGAAGAATATGATTTTCCCACTTTTTGCTTTGATTTTTGAAAATACTTAATTTAAAGATGACCTGAATATTTTATAATCTGATAACATTTCATAATAATTCTTTGATTTTTAAAGAGAAAACAAAAAAACCTTATAAAAAAAAAATTGAGGAAGCTTTATTAAAAAATTAAGAAGCACATTATTTATTAAGTGAATTATAAGTTATTATATTTTATTTTTTTATTATTATTAAAACTTTTTTTTATCAAAGAATATAATATTAAAAGTATATAGTGAACATACCCTTAATTATAGTTAAATTGAAATGGATTTATTTTAAGAAATAGAAGAAAACTTTATTACTGAATTAAATCCTTTATTAATTAGGATTATGTATAATAACACACCAATTAGTATGAAACATTCAAATGAAAATACTTATAATTCTTCATATTTTAATTTGATGCTATGAAATAAATAAATATTTATATATAATTTTATATATATTTAAATTTGATTGCGTTTATTAAAATAATTACTTGAATAGAAATTATTTTAATAAATATACATATTTTTAAGTAAGTAATTTTTAAATAGTGTTTCTTATCAAAAATAATTATATATAAAAAAAAATTTTTGAGATTTATAATTATATATATATTTATTTAAAAATATATTTTGTATATGATGTTAATAAATAGAATTTTTAATAAAATAAAAATAATAAATAATTAAAAATATATGAATTTAATATCTAATTTTATAATTTGACTTTAAAATATTAACTTTAAATATTGTCAAACACTGAAAAACATATATAATAATTAAAAAAAAAATAGAAAATTATAATAGGCATAAAATAAAAAAAAATTATTTTAAAATTAATTTATTTAATAATTTTAGATAGTAAAAATTTTTAATTATAAAAAATATATATATAAAAATGAAAAATTTTATTAAATTTATTTAAACACGTAATTATAAATTATAAATAAAATAAATATATTTTTATATGTTTATATTTATATGAATATAATTATATATATTTATTTATATATATATTTATATATTTATATATTAATATATTAATATTAATAAATCTTTAAATATTATCCTACATTTATTTATTTTTTTGTATCTTTTTTTATAATAGCTTTTAATATAAATATATTCATTTTTATTTAATAATGCATTTATATAAAAGATTTTTTTACTTATAACTTATTAAAATATTTTTTTTTACATTTTTAATTTATTCAATATTTTTATATTTCATATTAAAGAAATTTATTATAGTTTTTGATTTCTAATATACAAAAGTAAAAAAATAATTTATTCTTTAAAAACTTTTATGTATTATTTGAGAAAAAATATTATTTGAAAAAAATATTATTAATATTTTATTTTAATATCTTGAATTATAATTATGAAATAATATTATATAAATATATTATCAATCAATACTTTTTTTTAAAAAAAATCATTTCTCTGTTTAATTTTATTTTTTGTTAAAGATATACATAACTAAAAATTTAATTTTATGAATATATTAAATCAAAATATTTATATAAATATATAGATTTTTTTTAAATATATTTTAGTTTATAACTTTAAATTATTAAAAAGTACTAAGATTTTTATTTATATTTTTTTGATAAAATTATAAAAATACTAAGAAAAATTTGTAATAAATTATTTCTATTTAAAATAACATTTTTTATAAAAATAAATATAATTAATATACAAGTTTCTTTTCAAAATGTCTAATAACATAAATTAAAAATAATATAAAAAATATGTAAAATTATTTATTAAGTCTATATATAGGTTTAAAATAAAGCAACGAGCACCTAAAATGTTTTTCTTACGTAATTTATTTAATTTATTAAATAAGTTAAATAATTTAATAAATTTAATAATATTTTTGTATACTATTTATTTGTTTTAACAAAAAATATTTTTAATACTCTAAAAAAAGCAAAATTAAAAATTTATTTTATTATTTATAAAAAAAATCTTTTATGAAAATAATATTTTGTAATAAAAATTTTTTATAAATAAAGAAAATAAATCTATAATTAGAATTTTTATATAAAAAATATTTATATAACTAATTAGTTTACATATTTAATTTTTTCTCAATAAAATAATATGATTTATTTGAAAAAGTATATATATTAGATTAAAAAAAGTAAACTTTTTAGGTATTAAATACGTACTTTTTTTTTACTATTATTAACGTATTCTTCTTCTCATAGTAAAAAAATAAAAAAATATATAAGAATGTAATAATAATAATTTATTTAAGCGTTAAGGTCTGGATGGAGTTATATATCTATGTATTTTTAATAAGATACAGGTATAAATGATAAATAATTAGGTGCATTAAATATGTGCTTTTTATTAAGTTTAGCGATTTCATTTAAATTTATGGGGCAAAAAGGTTTTTATATAAAACAAAATATTATAATTTTGTATTAAAAATCATATTTTTAATTTATAAGTTGATAAAAGCAATCCAAAAAAAACATTAATCATAGGATTATCATTTTCAACATTATGTGTTTTTATGATTAGCATTTCAAGAATTTTTGGTTCTAAAAATATATACTTGTATTGTTTTTTTCAAATTCTATATGGTTTCTTTGACTCAATATGCCTACCTTCTTTTTTAAGTTTATTTTGTAATTGGTATAGCAAATTAAACAGAGGTAAAATTAAATATATAACAATAAAATAAAAAAATATAAGGTTTGATAATCTCGTTATGGATAGGCTCAAGAAATTTAGGCGATATTATAGGCTCTTTAATGGGCGAATTATATATAATAAAATTAGGAAGTTCTTGGTAAACAACCTTAATATATTTATCAATATATGTATTTGTGACTTGTGTTTTAGCTCAGCTTTTTTTATCTGCATATCCTGAAGATGAAGACTTGACATTAGGAAAGAAAGATAAAAACGATTTAAAAAAAGAAGAGAACAAAAATGAAGAAATAATAGTAGAAGTTGATTAAACTATATAGCAACCAAAACAAAAAAACACAATAACTGTATTATAAGCGATATAACTTTCCGGTGTATTTAATGTAATGCTTTCTTTTATGTGTTTAAAATCTTTAAATTATGGTTTAATTTTTTGGTTACCAAAATATTTACAAGATAATAATTTGGCAGATATTAGTGCTACAGTTTCCATTTTATGGTCTGTAGGAATGCTTATTGGAGGAATATTGGGGGGGTATTTAGGAGATTTACTTAAAAAAAGGGCAATCATAATGCCCCCTTCATAAATAATTCTACTTTTTTGTTTATACAGTTTTAATAAATTAGGAAAATATAAATCGAATTCCGTTTATTTTTATTTTTTGGGGTTTTTAATTGGTATTTTTCTTGGAAGCTGTTATAATATTATTGGAGGTCCAGTCATTATTGATCTTGGAAATCATCCAAAACTAAAAGGAAATGCTTAAGCTGTAGGTACTATGGTTGGCTTAGTTGAAGGATCAGGCAGTTTATCAGCTGCTTTAGCTTAGATTATTATTCCAAATATTGGAGAAAAAAGTATTTTTGTATTCTTCATGCTTATTTGTACAGGAAGCCTTATTTGTATTATACCTATAGCTCTAAAGGAACATTATAAATTTTTAAAAACCAAAAAAAAAACTAAGAGATTGATTATTAAGTTGAATAATATTAAGAAAAGAAAGAATAAAAATAAGAAGATATTAATAATAAAAATAGAGAAAATATTATTATTGAAAATAAAAAAGAAATTCAAGAAGAAAATATTTAGTTGGATTTTTTATAATCTGTATTGAAAAAAGAAAGTGATGATTATGAATAAAATTAAAACTTTTAGGTTAATTTAAATTAAGATTAACTTTAAATTAATAATTAAAATTTATATTTATAATAAAAAAATTAAGAAAATAGTATTAAATAAAATTTAGAAAATCACTAAAAAGACAATTTCTAATAAATTAATTTAAACTTTTAACAAAATTTATAGGATAACGAAAAAAATAATAAGGATATTTAATCTTAGTTTTTAGAGCAAAATAAATAAAAATTTGATAAGAAAAACAGTGAAGAATATTATTAAAATTTATAAGATCATAACTTTGAATTTTAATTTGATATTGAAGATGAAGATAATAATTGATTTTAATTTTATTTTATTAATTATATTTGTATTATATATAAATACTTGTTTTTATTTTATGTAATAATTTAAAAATATACTTACATTTGATTATATATAAATAATTTATTAAAAATAGAATATTAATAAAAAATATAAGATAATCTTCATATTTTTATCTAATTAAAAAAATAATTTTAATTAATAATAAAAAAAATATTTTTTTAATTTTAAATATTATATTTATATTATATTATTTTATATATATTTATATTTATATTTATATTTATATTTACAAAATTATTATCAAAATTTTTAATTAATATATATATAATTATTGTTTAATAATTTTCAAAGATCTATTATATTAATTTTTATTTAGAAATATTTTCTTTTATTTATTTTTTTATAATATTTTAAATCATTTGTATCAATTATATAATATTAATTTTTATTTTTTATTTGAATTTTTTAAATTTTTATTTTTTTTCTAGTTTTTTTTTATTAATATCATTTTATATATAATGTCTATATATTCAACAACTAATGTTTTTAAATATATGGTTTATTTAATTTTTTTTTCTATAAATAAGGAAACCAAATAGATATATTTTTTTTATTTAAATATATTTTTAATCTTTTCTTCAATTTTTATGATTTTTTTATGTTCTATTAAATTTTTAAAATTAGTTAATTTGTAAATTTAAAGGATTTCATTTTATTCTCGTTTCACTTATATTTTAAATATTTTATATATTGATTTACTATTTTTAAAAATTCTTTTAGAATAATATTATTATATAATACACATATGTAAATAACATTTATAGTATTTGGTAAGAAAAAATAATTAGTATTAACATAATAATTATAATATTATGTAAGCCTAATAATTTATATTATTATATGAATCATTACCTCTATATGATATAATGATATAGTTTGATTTCAACTACAGAAATTAAATTATAAATAATAAATTTGTATATAATATTTAATATAATAATTCAAATTTAAAAAAATAAAAATATCTCTAAGCTAGCGAAGAAGCAAACTTAAATTTTTTTAAACATAAAGTAAAATAGTATAGAATAAAATTAACATTAACAAAGAAAATATCAATAAGAGAGTGATTATTTTTGCTAATATACTCTAAATTAAAAAATAATAAAAAACATTAAAATCTTACATATATAGTGATAAAATCATTAATTTGGATTCATGATGTAGATTAAGAAATCTCAGTATAAAAATTTCAAATAGGTCTAGTAAAATATTAATATGGGGTGGGGTGTATTCTCTAAAAAGATTGTTCCATATATTTAATTTATTTAAAGAAACTTTAATTTAGATAAATACATTCAAACATTTACTAAATTTTTAGAAGAAACTAATTTAGAATGAGACATTATTTTTAATACGACATTACTTAAACATATTAAACATATACAGGTAAAAGAGTAACAATTTTTTTTAAAAATAAAATACTAATATTCTCCCTTGGTATATTTAAAGTCCTAATGCTAATACTATTGAGAAAACATGGTTGAATTTAAAGTTTTTTAAAACTTTAAAGAACTTTAAGGTATTTAAAGACTATATTGATGATGTTATTATGAATAATTTAGAAATAAAAAAATAATAAAAATTGTATTGAGTTTTCACTAAAATTTTGCGTTAAATTAATAACATATGTGAATTGATTACTAATTTATTTAAAAAATAATTTTATTCTGATTTTTATTGTTTTAAAATAATATTATATGTTCCTATTCTAAATTTAACTTTATTATTAAATAAATTAATTTTTATATATAAATAGTTATATTATAATTTTTATTAATGAATTAACTATATTCTTTTAATGCAAGACTACTTTATTTTAATTATTAATAAGTTAATAAAATTATTAATAATAAAGAAATGTAAATTTTTATTTTTAAATCAAACATATTTAAAATTAATCAATATATAAGTTAATAAATACAATTTATGAAACTATTGTTTTTTTTTATATATAATTTTATTTTTTATAAATATTAAATAATATTTTTTTATAAAATACATTTTTATAGTTACGTTTTTTTTATTTAGTATGCTAAAGTTTTTTTTATAAAACAAAGATTTTATAGATTTAAAATTATCCTTTTAATTTGGTATATATTTATAAATTGTTTTTTATTTATTTATTTTATTATTTAATAATAAAAAGTATATAATTAAATATTCATATTTTTTTTTTTAATTCTATTTGTAACTTTATTTAAAAAAAAATATAAAAAAGAGTAATTCCTTGCATATTTCTTTTATACAATTTTAAAAATTATATAGAAAATCAAAAAAAATAGTGGAAATATTTTATTTATTTAAATTACAAAAATATTATATTTATAATTAATAATTTATAAATATTTTATATAAATTATATAAAATTTTTTAAATATAAATTTAATTAATATTAATTTTTATATTTTTATACTTTACAATATTTTTTTAAACATAATATAATTTTAATTAAAAAAGTTAATAATTATAATATATTTATAATCAATTTAATGTTTAAAAATTACTTGAAATAATTAAATATTGTTCAAATACGCTTAAATAATTAATTGAAATTCGGAATTAGCTTGAATAATAATATACAATAAAAAATACTAGACACATTAAAACAAAATAACAAACTATCTGGAAAAATCTTTGAATTAAATACTAAATTCTAAGATTTAGGATTAGATTCATTAGAAAGAGTTGAAATTTTGGCTGAAATCGAAGAAGCGCTTGATTTAACTTTAGAAAATAATTATGCAGAAAAAATAATTACAATAAATGATGCAATTACAGCATTTTAAAATAACGCTAAATGATTAATAATCAAATTTTATTATAAAAATGATATATATATAAATGTTTATTTCTAAATATATCTTACCTAATTAATATATATAAATTAGTTTAATAATATATAAAAGATATAATTATTTAACAAAAAATAAATTATATTTTTATTATTTTTCGTTTAAAAATGTATTTAAATTTTTAATTATTATATTTTATACACAGAATATTATTTTATTTAGAATTTTCTTTCTTAATTAATTTTTTAATTCGAAATTTTTGATTTTCTTTTGAAATTTTATTTTAATTTTTAAATTCTTTTAAATAAATCATAAATATATTAGCTGTTCATATTTTTATTTTACTTTCTTTAATTTTTTGTTAATAAACTCAATTAACAAAAAAAAGGCCGTAAAAAATTGATAACGGCCCCCTTTTTTTACTTTGATTAACTTTTTAAAATAAAATGACAGTAAAAATATAAAAAGCAATAATAATTAAATTTAAAATATTTAGGATTTACTATTTGAGCATCGAATATATAATAATTATCTAATTATTTTTATAAGAACTTAAAAACTTAAATATAAAAAAATTAGTTTTTGCCTAACCAGAAAGATTTTTAATAATGATTTGATTAAAATGTTTTAAGGAAAAAAAAATATTCTTTCCAACATCAATATATTCATTATATTCATTTGCTTATTTATAATTTAAAATTTTTATAAAACTTATTATTTTCCCATACTCAGAGTAACTTTTTTTTAAAGGTAGGTATATTGTATTTATTACTATGATCAATATTAACATTAATTTTTTCTAATTAACTATATTTTTTTGCTTAAATGATAACTTTTTTTAATCTTCAACTAATTCAATAGTATTTTCAGTAACAAGCAAACAAAGATTATCTTCACTATTAGAAGAAATTAAAACTCTTAATTTATATTTTTATTCTATGATTTTTTTATAGCAAATTATTTATTATTAAATAACCATTAAGTTATTGTAATATGATATTAATAAGCTAAATTTAAATATCCTATATAATAATATAACTATCCAATAAAAAATCATAAGATTTAATTTAAAATTTATGCTTTTAAAAAACTAAATTATAAATAAAAATTTTAAAAATAAAAAATCATAATATTTTAAATAAGAAAAGAATAATAATAAGTTTTAATAATAATTAATATTAAAATTAAAATTGCATTAATATTTATGTATAGTGTTTCAATTTATATATAAATAAATTAATTTTATATATTTTTTATTGATTTGAACATCTTTGTATTTGTTATTAGGGTGCAAATTGCTATTAATATATTTTTTTTAATTATACGATTCTTAAACGATAATACCTATTAATTAATCCATTTCTATATTTAATTTTTCAAAGTCTTTATTATAAAAAACTAAAATTTGACTTATTGAACTTATTATTTATTTATTAAAGGTACAAAAATTTTTGGATTAAATTAATATTTCTTAAGAAATATTGCTTAGTTAAATTATTTATTTATTTTAAATTTCAAAAAATATATTAAAATTCTTGATTTTTGTCATCTTTACAAACTGTTTATGTAATTTTCATATATTTTATAAATATAATTGTACAAATTTCGATAGACATTATGATATTATATTTTTAATTATTTAATAAAGAAGTACAGTAATTT